ATATATATTTTTATAATTAATTTATATTAAAAATTATAAAAATTAATATATATTTTAATATCATCAATATGTGAGTAATTTTAATTAATTAATTAATTAATTAAATTAAAATCAATATTTATAATTTTAATAAAAATTAATTTTTAAAAAATATATTCATTACATATTTATTTTGTGTCTTTAAGGCATAGCATAGAAAAATCTTTATTATTATTATTATAGAAAAATTGTCTTTTAATCTCTAATTTTTTTGCCAAGAGATTATTAAGAAAATCTCTGAAGTTTTAACATTTATTGACTCTATCTTCCCTCCTACTACTTAGATCCTCACTTTCCTATGCCTAAAACGAGTTTAAAATATTTATTTTAATCACTAATATTTATATTTCTAGGTCAAAATATTAACACTTCACTTCTAATTCATAACATTTTACTAATTCAAATTTGTTTATTTTATTTTGTCATTTTCTTTACTAATTTTTGATATGTTTTTAAATTTATTATATACTATTTTTTTATGTATTTTATTCTTTACTTTTTTTTTCACAAATATAATTGAATAATTATTCAGTAATCATAAAAAATTTCAAAATATAATATATTTCATATTCAGCATAACCAAATTTGATTTTAAACAATTTTTTAATTTTAGAACTACATATGACTCCTGTTGGTCTTTTAGTTGTCTTATTCTATCAATTTTATGTTAAATAATTTGATTATTTATATAACAAATAAATAACAACTAAAATTTTTTTTAAACCTAGGTAAAAATACTTAACAAATATTATATTTAAAAAATTAATTTTTAATTACCATTTGATTATTATATTAAATTATTAAATTAAATTTGACATAAAAACTAAACTAACGCAATAAAAACAGACAAAAAAGTAATACTTTTACATTGTTAACAAATTTGCGCCTCTCATCACAAATCATAACTCCGCCACTTATTCCAGGATAAGTATTCTTATCTGAACGTGTTGCTTTCTGCTTTAATTTTCTGTTTTTTAGTGGCCCAAGTTAATTCTAAGCCACAAGAGACTTTGAAAAGTCTACAAATGCTATCTGGTTAGCAATATTGCTTTCCAACTTTGTACCGTACGAATGAAATCAGTATAAATTCAGTATAGAGCTATTTCAAATACTTGCAATGAATTTAACTGTCTTCTGTCCCTTCTCTCCTTTTACTCAACCATGGAGAAGGCATATTTCCTTTTGCAGTTCTCTACTGTCTTATCACTTCTTCTCCTTTCCTTGCAAACTTATCTAGCAACTACCCTATCTTCTACGAATGAAACTGATAAGCTTGCTCTATTGGCCATCAAAGGTCGAATTACTCAAGATATCCATGGGATAATGAATTCATGGAACGAATCTCTCCATCTTTGTGATTGGATGGGAGTCACATGCAGCCGCCGACACAAAGGAAGAGTAACTCACTTGAGTTTAGAGAGGCGTGGCCTAATTGGTTCCATCCCTCCCCAAATAGGGAACCTCTCCTTTCTAAGGGGAATCAACCTTGCAGAGAATAACTTTCAGCGTGAGATTCCGCAAGAAATTGGTCGTTTACCCCGGCTGAGATTTCTTAATCTAAGCAACAATGCTTTACAAGGGGAAATTCCAGGTAATCTAAGCTTTTGTTTAGGTCTTCAAGTTTTGAACTTGTCTAACAATATGCTTGTAGGCAAAATCCCAAACAGCTTGGAAACCTTGGGGATGAAGAAGCTAAATACTCTCTTTCTCGAATGTAATGAGCTGACAGGAACTATCCCAAAATGGCTAGGAAATGCTTCTTTACTCGTTCAGTTGTCATTAAGAAGAAACAGACTACATGGAAGCATCCCTGTTGAGCTCGGAAAACTCCAAAATCTTTCATATTTAGGAGTTAGTCTTAACAATTTATCTGGTATCGTTCCTCCTGCTATTTACAATCTATCCTCACTCATTTTTCTTCGCTTAGCATACAACCAATTTCATGGGAAAATACCTAATGATATAGGCTTAACACTTCCAAATCTTCAAGTCATTGTCTGTGGAGGTAACTACTTTACTGGGCGGCTTCCGGTTTCATTGCTGAATGCTTCACAACTGAAAAGAATTGGATTTGAACACAACAATTTCAATGGACCTGTGCCTCCAAATCTAGGAAGATTGAATGCTCTGGAATGGTTGACTCTTCAAGAAAATCAATTAGAAAATATGGAGGGAGACGACTTCAGTTTCTTAGCTTCTTTGACTAATTGCAGCAAATTGTCCGTGTTGGATTTGGGTGTAAATCTTTTTAAAGGTCATTTTCCTACTTCAATAGCTAATCTTTCAAGTAGGCTTGAAGGTCTTGCCATGGACAATAATCAGATTTCAGGTAGACTACCAAATGGGATTGGCAACTTGATTGGCCTCACATCATTGTTTTTAGATGATAACTTCCTCACAGGTGAAATTCCAAACAGTATTGGCCAACTAGAAAAGTTGAATAAACTTAAGTTATTTGATAACCAACTTTCAGGTACAATTCCCTCCTCAATTGGGAATCTCACCCAGTTGCTTTATTTGCATCTTGAAGAAAATAATTTAAAAGGTGAAATACCTCTTAATTTGGAAAATTGTAGAAATCTTTTTGAAGTCAACCTATCTTATAACAACATTACTGGTTCAATACCAAAAGAAGTTATAACTTCTACTATCATATCCTTAGATTTCTCAAGAAATTTCTTATTTGGGTTACTTCCTTTAGAGCTGGGAAATATGACCAATCTAATTAGTTTGTTCCTTGCCCACAATAGATTATCTGGAGAAATTCCAAGTACTTTGGGAAATTGTCCCATGATGGAAGACCTTCATATGCAGGATAACTTACTTACGGGTAGCATCCCATCCACCTTTAGCGCTTTAAAAAGTCTAAAAAATCTTGACCTTTCAACAAATAATTTGTCTGGACAAATTCCAAAATACTTCCAAAATGTCACTCTGCTGCATTATTTGAATTTGTCTTTCAACGAATTTGAAGGAGAGGTTCCATATGAAGGGGTTTTTGGAAATGCAAGTGCAGTTTCAGTTGTTGGAAACCGACACCTCTGTGGAGGCATTCAGAAGCTCAGACTCCCTCCATGTAAGGTCCAAGCTAGCCTAAAGAAGAACAAATGGTCTCACAATCTTAAAATTGTGATTCCAATTGTTTCCTGCTCGATCTTATTAGCAGTGCTTCTGTTTCTGATTTTTTTTCCTTGGGCAAGGAGATCTAAGAGGAAGGCCTCTTCCATGTTGCAAACACAAGAACCATTTCCAAAGATTTCTTTTGCAGAGTTAAGTCAAGCAACTAATGACTTCTCATCAGCCAACTTGATTGGCGAAGGAAGTTTTGGTTCTGTTTATAAAGGAATCATGGGTGAAAATGGAATGCTAGTTGCAGTGAAAGTGCTGAACCTTAAGCAGAAAGGAGCATCCAGGAGTTTTGTGGCCGAGTGTGAAGCTATGAGAAACATTCGTCATCGGAATCTGATCAAAGTTTTGACTGTCTGTTCTAGCATAGACTTTAAAGGGGTCGATTTCAAGGCTATAGTGTATGAGTTCATGCAAAATGGAAACCTGGATGAGTGGCTGCATTCAAATGACGTCCAGGTGGGAGTTCGGAATTTCAGTTTCATCAAGAGACTGAACGTAGTGATTGAAGTTGCACATGCAATTGAGTATCTGCATTACCACTGCCAACCAGCAATTGTTCATGGTGATCTCAAGCCAAGCAATATTCTACTTGATCATGAAATGGTTGCTCATGTGGGTGATTTTGGACTGGCAAGATTCCTTATTTCCTCAAAGAAAACAAGCTCACTTGGTACAATAGGAACCATTGGCTATGTTGCTCCAGGTAATATTAGTTTTACCTTAAATTTGTGTAGTGAAAGTTATAGTTTAGCATCTAGGTGCTGACTAACAGATGAATTGATCTCATGTTTCCTTGCTTTTGCTGCTAACCATTTCATTCAGAATATGGAATGGGCGTAAAGGCATCTATGGCAGGTGATGTGTTCAGCTTCGGAATTCTCTTGTTGGAGATGATTACAGGGAAGCGACCAACTGATGCAATATTCAAAGATGGCTTGAACCTTCACCAATTTGCCAAACTAGCGTTGCCAGAACGCGTGATGGACATTGTTGATACTTCGTTGCTGCAAGAACTTCGAAGTACAGATGAAAACGTTGGGGACACCCGAAGAAACAGAAGAGAAAGGAGAGTCAGTATCAAGGAGATCCTTATTACCTTTGCAAGAATAGGGGTTCTCTGCTCAATGGATTCTCCAAATGATCGAATGGAGATGAAAGATGTGGTTGCAGAATTATGTGTTATTAGAGATAAGTTTCTTGGTAATCGTTCATAGATTCTGATAAAGGAATCAACGCAAGCTCTCTTTTTTGGAAAAACTTCGTTTACATTAGTTCTTTTAGCTTTTCTACTATGTTTGGTGTGATATATTTCTACTGGAATGTTGGTACCAAACTTTAAGATTTCAACTTGTATAGGGCAAGCTGGGTTCAGATGATAATGAATGCAAAGCAGAAGATTGCACTCAACTGTTTGTTCTTTTCCTTTTCTAGTATTTATAGTTTTTCCTATCATATACTCTACCATATCTAGCCAACTCTTTGCCATTTCTTTCTCACATAACTTCCATGTAAAAGTGCTGCTTTTTAAAATTGATTCAACAAAAAATTTTTACCAGAAGCAGCAGCTTCTTTGTCACTTTCTTTGTCTCTCTCTCTTTCCAAGGATCAAAGTTTTCACTTGCTTGATTCTTTATTTCATTTTCTATTATAGAAATTTCACTTAGATATTTTAAATTTGGAACTTAAAATTTGAAACCCTTTAAAAATTTGTAATTTTATTGAATAAATTGAATTCTTTTCTAAGTTTAAATTTATAGAATTTGATTGCCATTTTTATTCATTATTCTATTATTTTACCTATCAATGCTATACTTATAATACTATATAAAATTATAAAATTATAATTATAACACATTAATAAATAAGATAATACATA